TTTTTTTTCCCCCGCTGATGCGATCGGTGCAGTATATATGGAAACTCGACATCTCCTTCAGATGTGCAGCATATGTAATAGAACATGGAGTGAAATATTTGGTAGTATGGATGAGTCGATAAAAAAAACTCGAAAAAAAGTTTGTTTGCCAGTTGTGGCAGTGCTCCATGTGGTCTGTGTGCTTCTGGCTGGCTCCATGTCATCAACCGTCTAGTGTACTGGATGTATACTCACTCACATGAGTTAAAACGACCCTTGAGGGGTTTGGTTATAAATGGCATGACAAGTTGTGGCTCCACGTAATCAACCGTCTCGTGTACTGGATGTCTACTCACTCACATGAGTTAAAATGACCCTTGGGGGGTTTGGTTGTAAATGGAATGACATATTGTCTGAAATTTTGGCCCTCCCTCCTTAACCTGCTCTCGATGGAATTTCGGGCCTCCGTTAACCTGCTCTCATGCTCTCGACTAGACCATGACGGTTCTGACTTTTTTTTTTTTTTTTTTTTTTTTTTTTTTTTTTGAGTGGGTGTCGTCACCGTTGACTCGCCTCGAACTCACCCATCCATTATACTTTGCTTCTCACTGCGGTGATGCTTTGAACGCCTTGGCCTGCATCTTGCGAGTAGCAGCCACACACTTTGTTGCTGCTGCGTACATGCCATGGTGTATCTGAGAAGTTGAGGAGCGGGGTGTTGTCATCGCTGACTCATCTACCCACCCATCCAGCGCACCCGCAGCGGGGTAATCATTTCTGTCAAGCACCGAACCTTCTCCCCCACACCTTTTGAGCGGCATACGCTGACGTCACCGCTGCTCTTGTATTGTTCTGGTTCGAACGAAGGACTTGCCTCGAACCCACCACACATCAGTCGCACCTCATCAGTAATCATTCGTATGGAGTTGGCGGCGTCTGGTTTCGCCAAGCGACTTCTATTTTATTTGTGTAAAGGTGATTTCGTCCGGTCCGGCAAGCTTATGTGCAAAAGGCGCTCTCGCTAGTTCTGTTTCTTATATGTTCCCTCGCGGGCCTGTTGTTTGTGTGGGAGGGGGACAATGGAGGGAGGAGGGGGTGTGGGAGGGAGACATGTTGGCTTGGTTTGTGTGTTCG